AAGACCCCAAGAACTCCACCAAAAGTCTTCTAGACTTAATAACCAAATTCAGTCAAGTAGCTGGATACAAGGTCAACACACAAAAATCAATAGTGTTCCTCTACAAGGAAAAACAGACTCACTGAGAGAGAAATAGGGCAAACAATTCCTTTCACAATAGCATCCAAAAAACTGAAGTACCTAGGAATTAACCTAACAAATGAAATCAAAGACCTTTTCTCTGAAAACTATAGCACTCTGAAAAGAGAGATTGAAGACGATATCAGAAAATGGAAAGACATCCCTTGCTCCCGGGTAGGAAGAATCAACATAGTGAAAATGGCCATACTTTCAACACTGCTATATAGATTCAATGCAATCCCAATTGAAATTCCAGCAGCATACTTCATGGACCTTGAGAAAATTTGTTTGGAATAAGTTGAGACCTAGAATAATAAAAGCAATTCTAGGCAACAGAGACATGGCAGGGGGTATCACAACCCCCAACTTGAAACTATACTGCAAAGCTACAGTGATAAAAACAGCATGGTACTGGCAAAGAAACAGACCAGAGGACCACTGGAACAGATTAGAAGATGCAGAAACAACTCCAGACACATTCAGCCACCTCATCTTCAATAAAGGACCCAAACACCCTCACTGGAGGAAATATAGCCTCTTTAATAAATGGTGCTGTGAAAATTGAGTTTCAGCTTGCCAAAGATTAAAACTTGACCTATATCTTTCACCATGCACTAAACTAAAATCAAAATGGATTAATGATCTAAATATTAAAATAGAAACGCTGAACCAGCTGGAACAGAAGTTAGGTAGAATTCTTGAATATATTGGTGTAGCAAAATATTTTATGAACAAAACCTCAGTTGCCTGTGAACTAGCACAAATAATCAACAAGTGGGATCTCTTCTTACTAAAAGGCTTCTGCACAGCAAGAGAAACCACCAGCAGTGTGAAGAGACAACCCACAATGTGGGAGAAAATGTTCACCTACTGTTCCTCAGACAAAGGTCTACTATCTCGAATCAATAAAGAACTTAAAAAAAAAAAATCAGACCTCCCAAATTTAAAGACCCAGTGCAAAAATGGGCATCTGAAATGAACGGTCATTTCTCAGACAAAGTAGTAGAAATAGCAAATAAACATATGAAAAAATGTTCAACATCACCGGTCATTCAAGAGATACAAATGAAAACAACGCTGAGATTCCATGTCACCCCGGAAAGAATGGCTGCTGCCATGAAATCAACCAATAACAAATGCTGGCGGGGCTGTGGGGAAAGAGAAACACTGCTCCACTGCTGGTGGGAATTTAGACTGGTACAACCACTGTGGAAATCAGTATGGAGACACCTCAAAATACTAAGACTAGAAGTCTCATTTGACCCAGCTATACCCCTGCTGGGGATCTTCCCCAAAGAATTAAAAGAATCATATCACAGTGATACATGTGCACCCATGTTCATAGCAGCCCAATTTGTAATAGCTAAAATTTGGAAGCAGCCCAATTGCCCATCAAATGGAGACTGGATAAAGAAAATGTGGGTTTTTTTTTTTTTTTTTACAAAATGGAGTACTACTCAGCCATAAAAAATGAGAAATTAGAGACATTTATAGCTAAATGGATTCATATTGAGGCGATACTCTTTTTTTTTTTGGTACCGCGGATCAAACTCCGGACCTTGTGCTTGCAAGGCAGGCTCCAGAACCACTGAGCTAAATCCCCGGCCCGAGGTGATACTCTCAAGTGAAATAAACAGGACACATTTGTAAAGACCAAACAGTTTCTCTCATATGAGAAACTGAAAGTGTAAATAAGGCCTAAAATGTATAATAGATAATGTGAAATAAGAAAAGGGGCAAAGGGGAAGAGAAAATGGGAGGGGTAGGGGAAAGGAAAGAAGGGAATGGAATTAATATGAGAAAATGAAAAAATGGCATCAAAGTCTTTGTAAATAGGGAGGGATGGAGGGGTTGAAGGGAGGGCAGGGAAGGGGGAAAAAATAAGAACCAAGAGAGATTATGTAAAGGTGCAAATTTACAATGATGAATGTGATTATAGTGTATACCTAAAATGTACCAATAAAATTAATTTTAAAAAAATGAAATTAATGTAAAAAAATTTCTGTAAGTGGATCCAAGTTGATGTTGAAGCAGAAGAGGTCATCACAGGTGAACGCCTGCAGCGTGGTCATTGTGCAGCTCTGCCAGCAGTGAAGCAGGTTAGCCACCCCATTTTTCTTTTATCTACTTCCCTCCTATTTTTTTTTGCTAGAATTAAAAAAATTTCAGATATATTATTTTACATATATTTTATCCTATGTATTTAACAAATAAGGACTTTTTGCTATAATGTAACCACAATAATAGCATAGCTAACAAAAGCAACAATAATTTATTAATATCATCTAAAAAACTATCTCTGATATTTATTTGCCCGGTTGACTACAAGAATGTCTTTAGTTTGTTTTTTCAAATCGAGGTTCAATCAGGAGCTGAGTGTGGTGGCATATGTATATTATCCAGCACTCTGGGAGACAGGGGGGAGGATTGCAAGTTCAAGGCCAGGCCGAATTGAAAAAGAGATTCAAGCAGAGACCACAGATTACATTTGATTAACATGTACCTACGGAATCTTTCAATCTATAAAAATTATCCCACTTTTTTATTCTCCTTTGCCATTTATTTATTGAAGAAAGTAAGCTTTTTGTGTTTGTGTTTTGATTTTACAAAATCAATTTTAGGCAAATTGTGTCCTTTGATGGAGCCAGGCTTACTCTATTTCTCATACTCCTAGTAAACTGGGACTTGTGTCTGGAATTGTGGTGACCCTAGGTGGCCATCAGCCACCTGTGGTGATTGAGCATTTTAAATGTGGTTGATCTGAATCAAGATGTGCAGTGAGTATAAAATATACACACGATTCCAAAGACAATTATGAAAAAAGACTGTACAATGTTATATTACCTTGTAGTATTGATCATTCATTCAATTATATTTAGGACATATTAAAATATATTTAAAATTAATTTTAATTTTACTTTCAGTTTTGCTTTTTTGATGTGACTATTGGAAAGTTGCAAATGATACCTGTAGTTTGTCTTTCTATTAGATAGTGCTGGTGCTGAGGCCTCATTAGGTTCAGGTTCAGTGTTTTTCTGTTTTGGCATGAGTACTATAGAGGTGAGGTGGTATGCTTCTTGCCTCACATTAGTAAGTGTAACATTCAGTGAGGGTTAATTGCCCTACTGAGAGTGCTGTTAAGCTTGCTCACTGGTGAGAAAGGGAAATTCAGGACCTGCTTGAGACTATCCTGGCACTCACAACCCGAATTTTGTTGTTCTATTGAGCCCCAACATCTTCAAAGAACACCAACCTCATGCCAGAGAGCCTTGTGACAGTCATACAGGAAGATAAAAACAAATGACTCCATAATTATATCTGAGTGCACACATAAAGAACACCATCCAAACCACAAATCATTGCCCTGTCAGGGCTTTTGTGAATGACTATTGCTTCTTTACCAGTTACAGCTTTAGCTTCACTTTGTTCCTCTGCATTTTAAATGGGAATTAAAATTTCCAGTAATAGAATCACCCATTTCCTGACAGAATCTAATTAAGAGCACATCTCTGTTTCCTTTAACTTTCCCCCAAATAGGTCCAAGCCTGAATCTTATAAGTACTTTCTAACATCCTCCTATGAAGACCTCCGTAGTTCCCTTTGGTGTATACTGGCTCTCGTGTTGCAATGACACAATGGACACATTTTAATTCCAGGTTTTTTTCAAGAGTATTGACAGTGGTCTCAGGTTGTGTTGGAGCCTCATCTTTCCATCACAATGTTTATTGGATAGATTTTTAAGTAGGGATACAAAAGTGTAGCTTAGCAGCTATTTATGACCCTTATGAAATTGGGCCCATGAGTCTGAACAATTATTGAAGATTTTTGCAAATAGACCTAAATCCATTTGATCATTGTATTAGTTTGGTAGGGATGCCATAAAAAGATAACACAAACTAGTGTCTTAAACAATAGTCTAGAGGTGGATGTAGTGTCACATGCCTGTATTCCCCAGCTACTCAGGAGGCTGAGGTAGAAGGATCACAAGATCATGGCCAGTTGGGCAACCTACTGAGAACCTGTCTCCAAAGTAAAAAGGGCTAGGGATGTAGCTCAGTGGCCCTGGGTTCACTCCCCAACCTCTTTCTCTCTCTCTCTCTCTCTCTCTCACACACACACACACACACACACACACACACACACACACACTAACAATAATTTCACTATTGTCTCATAGTTTTTGATGCTAGAAGTCCAAGATCAAGGTGTTGACAAGGGCTAGTTTCTTCTGAGCCCCATGAGGCAGAATCTAACCCTAGCTTCTGGTGGTTTGCTAGCAATATTTGTGTTTCTTGCTTTGTAATCACATCACTCTGATCTCTGCCTTATGTTCACATGGTGTTCTCCCTATGCCTGTCTCCAAATTTCCCATTATACCCGGTGGAGGATCCCATTCATATTGGAGAGAGCCTACTCTAATGACCTCATTTTAACTTGATCACCTCTGCAAAGCTTCTGTTTCCATACAGAGTCACATTGTGAGGCACTTAGGTGTTAGGATTTTGACATACGGATTTGGGGGGGGGCACAATTCAATTCATAACAGTCATTCACTACTATTAGAATATTTTTGATAAATGTCAGTAGCCATCAATTTTACAGGTAAGTAATTGTGGATGCTTCCTGACAATCTCACTGTAACTAGTTTATATTCAAAGCAAGTCTTCACCCAAATTCTATACACATATGAACATTTATTAAATAAGCAGCTATTAATTAGTTGTTTCAAGAACAGTTCATAAAACCTGATCTGTAAATCTTAGGAAGTCTCAGACTTCTTTTCTGTAAGGGTTTTAACCACACTTTGTATAAAGAATTCATCTGGGGCTGGGGATTTAGCTCAGTGCCACCACCCCTGCCTTGCAAGCACAAGGTCTTGAATTCGATTCCTGGTACCCCCCCAAAAAAAGAATTCATCTGATTTAGTTAATCCTATAATGGTAACTGCCAGCCAGAATCCTCTGAAATCAGAACTGGATTTAGGCCTGGGTGCTATCTTTATGAGCACAGTGAAGGTTTCAGCCTGGTGAAAAGGTGTGGAATATCTCTAACTCATTTTACACTGAATAGTATGGTGATATTCTGCCAATGGGAGTCCATTTATAGTATTCATTATGTTAATTACCCAGTCATTAATCTTACCAGTGAAAGTCTATTAATAACATTTATTATAATTAGCAGTGCTTCTTGTGTTGATTGAAGGTAGGACTTGTGACAATCCTCTCTGGTGTGTGGCATTTTGATTAAATGTTAGCTATGAAGTCTTGATTAGGGCAACCAACTATTCCTAGGGTATAGATTAAAACTAATAAGCACATACTTACATCATACCATCAGAGCTCAAATATTTAAAAGTAAATTACAGACATCATAACCAAGCCACACCATTTTTAGAGAGTGCTTGGGAGAATGTATAATAAATAGATGCACACTGGATTCCAAAGACCATGGAATGGGGGTCAAATGTACCATTTACCAGCTATCTTTGTGATTTGGGGCAAATCATTTACATTTTCTCGGTTTCAATTTTTTTATCTATTAAAGGCCTGGATTAAATAATCCTTTAAGTTCCTTCCAACATTTATTCTATAATTCTAAGAGTTAATATATCCACACATATAAAATAATATAATGCAGACTGAATACATGACTGCTCAAGGGGAAGTGGCATGAAAGAAAGAATTTGGAGGAAGTGAGGCAAAACTAGTCATCAGTATGTGTATGTACATGTGTATGCTTCTCTTTTTGCCTATAAGCTCTTATATAGATAAAAATGATGCTTGGTACTTTCAGACTCAATTTGGGGATATTAGATATTATTGAAGGTGACTTTTTTTAGCTTTTAGAATTTGCAACTGGTGAGGAAGCACAGTATTGATTTTGCTTGCTTGAAGTCGACAGGTGTTGCAGTGGTAGGTCTGTGTGTTGACTTCAAGTTCAAAGCAGTCATGTGTCCTACCAATACACTTCTGTGCCTCTTCAGTGAGACCTCTGTGAAAACGGCTATTTGCAAGAGTAAAATCTGAATGAAGATGGCATGTTCTTCTGTTCAGAAATAGAAAGGAAAAACATACTGACTTTGAATACCTTGATTAAAGTAGTATTCAAATCCTAAACATTGCCCCAGGCACATAATTCAAATGAACCCTACAGGCAAATTTTCTGTGCTTCATTTGCCAGTAGTTTGTAGACTTCCTGCTCAGGGAAGCTAAAAGAGAATGTAACAGCTTCCCTTTGTCTGGGATGGAAAAAACAGGCTGGACCAAAGGGCATGTGGGACAAACTGGAATAGCCACGAGGGCCAGGTGAAAAAAGTCAGTGAATGAAGCCAGCTGAGATGAATCAGTAGGATGTGATAAGGGAAGCTGGGCCCCAGGAGAGGGGGAAAGCCACCAACTAGCCCCAGGGACAGTGCCAACGGGAGCTGTTTGTCCAAGATTGCTAGCTATTCTAGGATTGCCAGAATTGCCCCTGAACCCAATATTTTGTTTGCCTCTAAAGTGGGATCCCGGTTTTTAATTATTGATTATTAAATGTTTGTAATAAATTAAAGCTTTTTATAAAGGTTTGAGGGCCAAACAAAATATCTACCTGTACAATGTAGAAATTTCACCGTTGGGTTATCATGAAAAAATAAGGGCTTTAGACATACCTGGGAACAAAGGCCGGCAAAACTATTTGTTGGCTGTGTAACATGAGATAGGTACTTAAAATGTTTGATCTTTTTTTATAAGTGAACAATGATGATATTTTCACTCAGTTGGTAAGATTACTGTGAATATTGAATGAGAGAGTGTTTGACAAAGTGCACAACTACACCTGGCATTTAAATGTAGCTCTCGTGAGTGTTCTTTAAAGATACCTTTTAGGCCAATTATAATAAACTGATTGCCCACAGTTCAAATCCAGCTCCCAAATCCATTTTTCTTGGCAGCCTTCAAATGTCCGGAGTGGAGGGTCAGCATCATCTCTTGAAATGAGGCATGAGCTCTTCAGTTTGTCACTGTCCCACCAGCCTGCTATTTTCCATCTGAGTTTATGATCCCTATGTATGGGACATTTGCTTGACCCT